TGGGGTGGGGGGGGGGTAGGTATTTTGATAAAATAGCATGATTTAGTATAGATGGCCTAAACGCACTGCACTCTGGGTTTTTATTCTCTTTTTAATTTCCTAAGTGATGTTGAAATAAGCACACAGACGTATATTACTCAAGTTAAATAGTAGTAAAAAGATTGAACGATGAAGATTATGCGGAAATTATGTGCACCCCTCTCCCTTTCCACCTAATGGGGGTCTAGGTATGTACTACGGGAACAGAAAGCAGCAGTCATTCTTTTTTTTTTTTTTTGGTAAGTGTTTTACGGCACCAGCAACTGCATAAGGTCATTTGAGCGCGGGGGACACACCAATTATTTTCAGTTGGAAGGAAATTTTGAATTTTGCAGAGATGGTGGCCGAAGCCTACTCTTAATCTTATCGATTTTAGACCACCAAGGGATCTTTAACGTGCGCAACTTGCACACGGGAAAAACAAGATTTCTCGCCTTGGTCCGAGAAGGCTAGGTGTAGATCTGTCCTGCCAGGAGATCAGGGGTGTGACGGAAAAACAGCAGTAAGAAGGAGCCAAAGAGTAGCAGTAGAAAGTCTGCAGAAAGAGTCAAGACTCTAGAGGAGAGGGCAAAGGAGGTGAGGAGGTGAGGGCAGAAAGTGGAGACGAAAGCAGACGACAGAACATTGCTAGAGAGCAGGAAAGTGGGTGAAAGGAGACAATTTTAGAAAAGAATATTTTTCTGTCATCACGCTGATTCGAATCCAGGACCTTTGAATAAGCGGCGTATACCTTGACCTCTAGGCCACGAGAGCCCCCAGCTCTCATTCTCGTACATAAACAAATTGGGGGGTTGTCATATTTAACCGTTATCTGATTGGGTACTGATGTAACTGTACACCATGCTTTTTTCCACGGTTTGCCTCTTTCGTTTTTCATTTGGCACTTTAATTTGCCCATTTTCATGTTCGTTGGACGTTTTTACCAACACACATAAGTCTCACCTAGCATAGCGTTCTACTCTGTGTGAGCTCTCGTGAAAGTGATGAATAGTAGCCTATACTAGTATTTAACCGTACAAATGACTGTTTTGCCCCATGCTGAAACATTGATGGAATGTAGATAGAACGATAGATAGATAGATAGATAGTGTGTGTGTGTGTGTGTGTGTGTGTGTGTGTGTGTGTGTGTGTGTGTGTATGTGTGTCAGAGAGAGAGGGAGGGGGCGAGAGAGAGAGAAAGAAGAGAGAGA